AGGATGCCCCTTACGGCTCAGGGAAGTGGCAGCCAAGACCCGCCCCCCGCACACACACACCCCTGCCCAGACCCTGAGCACCTTGGGGCTGGGCTGCCACAGCTCTCACCTCTGCAGGGGGCAGCCCTCCCCCCAACTTGGGCTGGAGGAGCCGGAAGTCCTGGGAGTCGGCCGGGGCGTGCGGCAACCTCCCCAGGACCCCTGCCTGGCCTGCTCAGCTGGCCTGGAAGGTCCTGCCCCTGCCCAGGATATCATGGTGGGGAGAGGCCATTTTCCCAGCTGAGGAGTGACTCGTGCCCAGGGGCCTGGGGACGTTGCACAGCTCACGGGAAAGTGCCACTGGAGCACAAGCTCACCATGGCGTGGACGTGTGGAGACCCAGGCGTGGCTGTCAGAACTCATTTTCCGTGAGCCTTCTGAAGCCTGTGTACTTTTCCATGTGGCCTCGGAGCCGCCAGCTCCACCCTTCCCGGCCCCAGGGGCCCCGAGCCGACCAGCCCAGGACCTGTCACCGGGCTCTGTCCTCCCCACGGTGCCGGCTGAGCAGGGTGCTGTGGGATAAGTCACGGCCAAGCCCCGAGCCTGGCCACTCCGCCGTGAGGGCCTCTGGCTGATAGCTGGAGCGGGGCGGTGTGTGACAGCCTGTGTAGCCCCAGCACCTGCAGGGTGGGGCCTAGCCAGGCCTGGGCGTTCCTCTTCTCAAGCCAGAGCGGGCTGGTGACCCGAGGCCCGGTTTCCCTGTGGTCTCCTTCCCGGCCTGTGTCCTAGCAGAGACATGGCGGACAGGATGGCCCCGGGCTCTGCGGAGCGAGGAGGGAGGTGGCTGGGGTGCCCAGGAGTGGACCCCAGGGCTTCCAGGGCTCGACCTGCGCGCCCAGCGCCTGTGGCTGTGAGGTGCCGGGGTCTGCGCGGGGCCGGGTCTGACCACGCGTGTGCTCACACAGCTCACTTCAGTGCTAAGGAGGCGGGGGACCTGTCCACGCTCTTCGACGTCGGCGGCATCTTGGGTAGGCCCCGCCCCGCCCCGCGGCACTCT